AGAGTAAAAGTCTATCTCAATAAACAAAGATTATTTTAAAAAAGAATTAAAAGGAAAAATAGAAAATTCAACAAAAATAGCTGGAGACTTCAATAGCCCCACTTTCAATAATGGATAAACAGGCCAGGTGCGGTGGCTCACGCCTGTAATCCTAGCACTCTGGGAGGCCAAGGCAGGCAGATCACTGAAGGTCAGGAGTTCGAAACCAGCCTGAGCAAGAGTGAGACCCCGTCTCTACTAAAAATAGAAAGAAATTAATTGGCCAACTAAAAATATATAGAGAAAAAATTAGCAAGACATGGTGGTGCATGCCTGTAGTCCCTGCTACTTGGGAGGCTGAGGCAGAAGAATTGCTTGAGCAATACTCAAATTGACTTTGAGGTTGCTGTGAGCTAGGGTGATGCCACGGCACTCTAGCCTGGGCAAGAGAGTGAGACTGTCTCAGAAAAATAAATAAATAAATAAATAATAGATAAACAACTAGACAGTTGATCAATAAACAAATAGAAGACTTGAACAACACTGTAAACCAATTGGGCCTAAAGACATCTATAGAACACCCCATTTAATAACAGCAGAATACATATTCTCCTCAAGGACACAAAAAACATTCTCCAGAACAGGCCATATGTTAGGGCATAAAACAAGAATCAATAAATTTAAAAGAACTGAAATCATACAAAGTACGTTCTATGACCACAATGAAATAACAAAAAGAAATTTGGAGAATTCACAAATATTTGGAAATTATACAACACATTCCTGAATAACCAATGGGAAAAGAAGAAAAAATCACAAGGGAAATGGAAAAATACTTTGAGGAAAATGGAAATAAACACAGTATACCAAAACTTATGGAATGCAACTAAATAGGTGCTTAGATGAAAATTTAAAACTATAAACATCCATTGGGGTGAAAGAAATAAAAAGAAAACTATAAACATCCATATTAAAAAAGAAGAACGTTCTCAAATGGATAACCTAACATTCCACTTTAAGAAACTAGAAAAAGAGAAGCAAACTACATAAAAAATAACAGAAAAAGGAAACATTATAGAGTGGAAATAAATGAAACAATGGATAGAAAAACAATTGAAAAAATAAATGAAACTAAAAGTTGGTTCTTTGAAAAGATCAACAAAATTGACAAACCTCTACTATACTGAACAAGAAAAAACAGACTCAAATTACTAAGATCAGTAATGAAGGAGAGGACATTACTACCAACTTCACAAAAATAAAAAAAGCATTCTAAGGGAATACTATGAACAATTATTTGCTAAGAAATTAGATAACCTAGATGAAATGTACAAATTCCTAGAGACACAAACTCTCCAACTGAAACTTACTGAGGAAGAAACAGAAAATCAGAATGATTTTCTATATAATCGCTCTATAAGGAGAGATTGAACGAATAATTGAAAAACTTCTTACCCACAAAGAAAAGCCAAGGGCCAAATGGCTTCACTAGTGAATTCTGCCAAACATTTAAAGAAGAATTAACACCTCCAGAAAGTCTCCTCCAGAAAATAGAATAAAGAGCATTAACCAACTCATTCCATGAAGTCAGTATTGCCTTGATACCAAAACCAGGCAATAATACCACAAGGAAAGAAAACTACAAACCAATATTCTTCAAAAATATAGATGCAAAAATCCTCAACAAAATATTAGCAAATCAGATCCAGCAGCATGTTTTAAAGCATTATTCACTGTGACCAAGTGGTATGTATCTAAGGAATGCAAGGTTAGATCAACGTACAAAAATCAATGTAATATATCATATCAATAGATCACATAATCATCTCAATGGATGCAGAAAAATCATTTAACAATCTTACAGCATAGTATTTAGAGGCAAATTTAAAAAATCATTTAATAAAATCCAGCACCCACTCTTTCAAGATAAAAATTCTCAACAAACTAGTAATTGAAGGTAACTTCCTCAACTTGATAAAGAGTATCTGTGAAAAATACACAACATTATACTTAACAGTGAAAGATCAAGAGCTCTCCCGCTAAGGTAGGGAAAAGAGGAGTCTATCTGCTCTCACCACTTCTATTTAACATTGCTCTGGAGGTTATGGCCAAAGCAATTGGGCAACAAAAATATATAAAAGACACCCAAATTGAAAGAAAGAAGTAAAACTATCTCTATTTACAGATATCATGATCTTATATATGGAAAAGTCTAAGGAACACACACACACACACACACTATTAGAGCTAATAAGTGAGTTCAGCAAGGTTGCGGGATACAAGATCAATATACAAAACTCAGTTGTAATTCTATACGCTGGTAATGAACAATTTAGAAATAAAATTAAGAAAATAATTCCAAGCCAGGTGTGGTGGTTCATGCCTGTAATTCCTGCACTTGGGGAGGCTAAAGCAGGAGGATCACTTGAAGCCAGGAATTTGAGACAAGCCTGAGCAACACAGCAAACCTCATCTCTACAAAAAATTTTAAAAGTTAAAAAAAAATTCCATTTATAATAGCATCAAAAAGAATAAAATCCCTAAGAATAAATTTGACAAAAGAAATGCAATATTGGTACACTAAAAACTACAAAACATAGTTGGAAGAAATTAATGTAGACTTAAATAAGTACAAAAACATGCCATGTTTATGGACTAGGAGTCTTAAATTGTTAAGATGGCAATACTTCCCAAATTGACCTACAGATTCAATGCAATCCTTATCAAATTCTAGTGGCTTTTTTGCAGAAATTGACAAGCTGTTTCTAAATTCACATGGAAATGCAAGGGACCTAGAATAGCTAAGCAATCTTGAAAAAGAAGTACAAAGTTGGAGGACTCAGACTTCCCTACCTCGAAACTTAACTACAAAGCTACAGTAATCAAGACTGTGTGATACTAGCACAATGACAGACATGTAAATCAACAGAATAAAATTGAGAGTCCAAAATAAACCCATGCCTCTGTGATCAATCGATTTCTGACAAGGTGCCATGATAATCCAATGGAGAAAGAACATTCTCTTCAACAAATGGTGCTGGGACAACTGGACAGTCACAGGTGAAAGAAAGCATTTGCACCTGTGCCTCATATCACACACACAAATGAGCTACAAATGGATCAGAGCTCCTACCTAAATGTAGGATCTAAAAACATAAAACTCTGGTTAAAAAAAAAAAATTAGATGTAGCAGGTGTGGTGGCTCGCATCTGTAATTCCAGCACTTTGGGAGGCCTTTGCAGAAGGATTATTTGAGGCCAAGTGTTCAAGATCAGCCTGGGCAACAAAGCAAGAGACCCATTCTCTACAAAAAATTTAAAAATTAGCTGGGTGTGGTGGCATGCACCTGTAGTCTCAGCTACTAGGGAGGCTTAGGCAATGGTTTCTTACATATGACACACAAATACAAACAATCAAATCAAAAGGAGATAAACTGAATTTCATCACAATCAAAAACTTGTACTTCAAAAGACACTATCAAGAAGTTGGAAAAAACCACCCTCAGAATGGGAGAAAGTCTTTGCATACCACATATACTGTAAGGGTCTAGTATCAGAATATATAAGGAACTCTTACAGTTCAATGATAAAAAGACAACCCAGTTAAAGTGGGCAAAGGCCAGCCTGGGCAACACAGTGCAACCCTGTGTCTACAAAACAATTAGCTAGCCGTGGTGTGCGCGCCTGTAGGCCCAGCTACTTGGGAGGCTGAGGCAGGAGGATCACTTGAGTCCAGAAGCTCAAGGTTACAGTGATCGTGCCACTGTATTCCAGCCTGGGCAATAGAGCGAAACTCTGCCTCATCTAAAAAAAGTGTGTGAGGGGGCAAGGAATCTGAGTAGAAATTTCTCTATAAAAGATGGATAAATGACTGATAAGCGCATTAAAAGTTACTCAACATCATTAGCCATTAGGGAAATGCTAGAGTGAGATACCACAATGAAATGCCATCTCATACCCACTGGCTGCAGTAAAAAAGACAATAATAGGCCGGGCGCGGTGGCTCACGCCTGTAATCCTAGCACTCTGGGAGGCCGAGGCGGGCGGATTGCTCAAGGTCAGGAGTTCGAAACCAGCCTGAGCAAGCGCGAGACCCCCGTCTCTACTATAAATAGAAAGAAATTAATTGGCCAACTTATATAGAGAAACTTAGCCGGGCATGGTGGCGCATGCCTATAGTCCCAGCTACTCGGGAGGCTGAGGCAAGAGGATCGCTTGAGCCCAAGAGATTGAGGTTGCTGTGAGCTAGGCTGACGCCACAGCACTCACTCTAGCCTGGGCAACAAAGCGAGACTCTGTCTCAAAAAAAAAAAACATTAAAAAAAATAAAATTAAAATTAAAAAAAGATAATAATAACAAGTGTTACTGAAAATTCTGAGAAACTGACATTCTTTTACATTGCTGGTGAGAATGTAAAATTGTACAATTGATTTAGAAAACAGTCTGGTGCTTCAAACTGTTAAAGTTATCATATGATCCAGCAATTTCACTCCTAGATATATACCCAAGATATTTGAAAATATATGTACATACAAAATTCTGTACACAAATGTTCATAGTTTACAGCATCATTCATATTAGCCACAAAATGGAAACAACCCAAATGTCCAACAACTGATGAATGGATAAACAAAACCGACAGCAACACAACAGAGTATTGCATGGCAATGAAAAGGAATGAAGTGCTGGCTCATGCTACACTGTGAATGAACTTGAGGACATTATGCTAAGTGAAAGAAGCCAGACACAAAATCACGTGTTGTGAAATTCCTCTTACATGAACTATCCAGAAGAGGCAAATCCATAGTCATAAAATAGATTCGTGACTCAGGGGCTGGCAGTGGGGGCAGGGCAGTGGCTGCTAATGGGTACGGAGTTTCTTCCAGGGATGAGGAAGATGTTCTAGAATTAGACAGCAGTGATTGTTCCACACCCTTGTGAATACACAAAAAACTACATTATCTACTTTAAAAGGGTAAACTTTATGCTATGTAAATTATATATTTCAATTTCTTAAAAAGGAAGAAAAGATGATGGCCAACATTCCACTCCAGGACAGCACCGATCCCTCTCGCTGTCACCACAGCCTAGAGGTGAGGACGGCCTCCGTGGGCTTCACCTGCATGGCTTTAGTATGAGTGAGAGCGAGCTAACAAGGTACCTTTCTTCTGGACTTGCCTGTTTTAGGGTTTCTCCTTTATTCAGCTGGCTTGTGGATTTTTTCTTATTCTTCCATTCAGTGAGAGCTGAGGGTGTGCCGTGCGCTGCTGCAGCAGTGCACGGTGACGATATGCCCATAAACACAGCCGACCAAGTCCCGGCCCTCACAAGCGCACAGGACCAGGTAGAACACAAGTACCAAACACGTAAATATCCACCAGCTGCCAACGGCCGTGGAGAAGCCGGAGCCGCAGGTGGAGCGGAGCAGGCACAGAGCCCGGGCTTTGGTCTGGTCGGGGCAGTCAGGGCAGACTGCTCCGACGGGGGAGTTCCCAGCAGAGACCTGCATGGCCACGTGGGTCCAGGCAAATCAAGTGCAAAACCCTAGGGCAGAGCCTGTAGCCTCTTAAGGAGCAGTGAGGAGCCCAGCGTTGCAGGCTGCAGCTGCAACGAGATAGCAGGAGGTGAGAACAGCCCTGGCGGGCCTGTGACCAGGACAAGGGCTTGGGTTAATTTCCTAGGGTTTGCTGTACAAATGACCAGGAACTGGTGGTGTAAAACAACAGAATGTCTTCTCAGTTTTGCAAGCTGACATTCTGAAACCAAGGCCTCAGCAGGCTGAGTTCCCTCCTAGCCTCTGGTGTGGGTGCTCCTCCACGGCATCCCTGCCTGCAGCCACCGACCTCCAACCTCTGCCTCGACCCCCGCCTCATCCTCAGCTAGTGTGACCTCATTTTACCTGCCACATCTGCACAGACCCTATGTCCAAATAAGGTCCCACCCATAGGTTGCAGGTGGATCAGGGAATACTGTTCACCCAGCACAGGGCCCCTCTCCAGCCCCTCGGAGCCGTGTCTGTTGGGGTGCCTGCCTCTGCCATCCATGCTCACACCCACTTCCCAGTGCTGGATGGAGAATGACCCCACTGGGTCTAAACCTCTCCGGGTAGTTTGTGGAGAGGAGACTGCCTGCTGGACACCTGCAGAACTGCCCATGCTCCAGGGCGGCCTGGACCTCGGAGGTCTGGCTGTGGCAGTACAGGGCCAGAGGGGCAGGTCCTGTGCTCGCAGAGGACAGAGACAGGGGTGTGCTCAGCGAGCAGATGTGGATCTTGAGAGAGAGAGACCAAGGACAATGTCACAGCTTTGGCCTGAGAAGAGGAAACAAGACCTACAGATTTATACGCACATTTTACACAGGAAGAGACCCTCTGACTTCTAGTTCCAGATGCTGAAGGGTCTTCCTTTGTCACAGGCATTTAAATAAATAAAGATGCCGAAGGGAGCACAAGCATTTTCCCTCCCCCCCCTCAGTGAAATAAGAGGAAAAGCTGTGGAAGGGGCAGGTGTGGGTGGACGAGAGCGCCCACACTCTGGACGAGGGAAGGCATGGGGTCTGGGCAGAGGACGCCGGACGGGGCGAGCCCAGCTCTGAGCAGAAGTGGGCGCCGACACAGCCGGCGCGGGACGGTCTGTGCCAGAGGGGCTCAGCGCCGCAGGGGACAGGCCGGCTCCCCAGAGGGCCCGGCGAAGCCCCCGACTCTGCACCAGGGCAGGGGGCACCCGCAGGGGAGGCCGCGCTGGGCCGGTCCGACCGGCAGAGAGGGAGCGCACAGCGCCCTCACGCCCGACGGCGGGCGGGCGGCCGGGCCCCAGGGCGCGAGGAGAACGAACAGCAGGGCGCAGAAGGCCAAAGCGCCGGGAAGGGCGGCCCGAGGAAAACACTCCAGCCAACAGAGGGCGCCCCGGAGAGCGCGGACCGAGCGGCGGGGCCGGAGCAGGCCGGCCCGCCCTCCCCGCCTGGCCCTGGCGGCCGCGCCGGTTCCCGCGCCTGAGCGCCCGCGTGTCCAGCCCGCGCCCGCGTCCCGGCGGACACCGCCTCTCCCGGGAAACTGCTGGCTCCCGCGGGCCCGCCCACCCCTGCCAACCTCACTCTCTGCCATCGGGGTCCTCCTGGGGGTGCTCTGCTGCCTCAGCTTCCTAAAGCACTTTAGTGGCTTCCCACCCCTCCAAGAAGGAAGACAAAACCGGTGACTTGGCCAGCAAGACCCAGACTCTCCGTGGCCGACCCGTCGAGGTGGGTGGCGCTGCTCCCTCCCTGCTGCCCCGCCCCCACCCTCTTCCCAGGCGCCCTGACATCCCCCCAGCCTTCCTGCCTCTCTCAACACTTCCCAGGTCAAGGCCACACACCCCTAGGGTCATTCCAGGACTGTCTGTCTCCACCAGACCTTCAGCTGCTTTCCCCCACCCCCTTCCAGACAGAGCGAGTCCCTGTGATCTCTTCCGCACTATCTGGGGTTTCTGTCCCCTGAAGGACGTCGCTGCCAGAGGAAGTCTGGAAACTCCGGCCACATACCACACTGCCTCTGTCGGGAAGAGGCTCTCAGGGGAAGGGGCTGAGCCCAGAGAGCCCACAGCCACTGTGGCCCTCCTTGCTGTCTGGCCAGAGCCCCCCTTCTCAGTGGGAAAGACAGAGCTGCTGCCAGGGGGTGGAGCTCTGCCTTTGCCTCCCTCTGGTGTCCCAGTGTGCCCACCTTCCTCAGACGCCCACAGAGTTCTGCTGCAAATGAACCCTCGTGAGGAATGAGACAGAAGTCATGATAACAATTTATGCTCCATCCACTGGTCTTGGGACAGGGGCCCCTGGTCGGGTGGGAACGATGTCCTCAGACAGAGGGGCTGGCCATGGTGTAGGAGCCCAGAGGGCTTTTCTCTAGGCCTGGGAGTTGGCTGTCCTGTGGAGGGGTCTCTTGGCTGTTTGCCACGACGAAGGACACCTGAGGAGTGAGGGCGGCCAGCTGTCCAGAAGTGGCTGAGGGAATCCCTGCTCTGGGAGGAAGTGGCCTCCTCAACCCTCCAGGGTGAAATCTCAGTGTCTGTGTCCAGGTGTGGGTGGTACCTGTGCAGCCAGGTGTCACGGCTGCTCGCTGCTGCCACAGCTGGAAATGCCCAAGGCTGGGGTCCCCAGGGGCAGTGTCCCTCTGCTCTGAGTTTCTGAGGTCTAGACTGTCACTGGGTTGGCCCCCCAGGCCAATGGCAGTGCAGGGTCCTGCCTTGCCAGCCAATATCACAGCTAAGATGGAACTAGAATGGCAGCATCTGCACATAGCTCAGGCCCGCAGGGCACCCCGACCCTGGCCAGCCCTGGATTGCTGCCCACGCCCCTGCCAGCCTGCCATGCCAACTGCGCGTCCCTCGGGAGGAGCTGACTGGGAAGGCTGGGCAAGAGGGGCCGGGGACACAGGATGCCCCTGCCCCCTCGGCTCCACACCAGGGGCCTGATGCACACGCCAGGGTCTGACCACACCTTGATCAGCAAAGGTGCTCCTGCAGACATTTTCTGTGTTTGATGTATATTTCAAAAGCAAGACTATTCAGTGCTCGCTTCAGGGAGAGTCCCTGAGGGAGGGAGACAGCACAGTGCTCACAGCAGGGCCAGCAGCCAGGGCGAGGACCCCACCTCTGTGTCTCCCACTGCGGGGGCTGGCAAAAGCCCTTCACCTCTCTGAACCTCCATTTCCTCATCTAGAAAATGTGGTGAGTGATGTGTGCCTAGGACAGCGGGTGCGGCTCCCGGCTGGGCACCCCCCTGGCACTGCACCCCATGGACCAGGGAGGTCCCAGGCCTGCAGGGTGCGCTGCCTGGGAGCCAGCGCCTTGGACACTGGTTCCTCTCCAGGCGGGAGACAAAGGAGGATGGCCGGGAGGGAGGGCATCCCCGTGCCAGCCCGAGCGGCTTTGCCAGTTCCCAGATCCATGTACCCCGTCACCAGCCACAGGGAGACATTGTCCCAGCTGGCCAAGGACAGTCCAGTTTCTGCCTATTAACTGGTATAATTCACCTTCAAAAAGTGCCCCCCACCCCACCAAGAAGACCACTAAAAATAGATTCCTGGGCTCATCCCCCAGACTAACTAGAGTCTGGGGTTGTGGCTCTGGAATTTATATTTTCCACCAGTTTGTTGGGTATTTTTTTCCAGAGATGGGGTGTTCCTCTCTCACCCAGGCTAGAGTGCAGTAGCATCATCATAGCTCACTGGAGCCTCAAACTCCTGGGCTCAAGTGATCCTCCCATCTCAGCCTCCTGAGTAGCGGGAACTACAGGCATGTGCCACCACACCTGGCTAATTTTTAAATTTGTGGTAGAGATGGGGTCTTGCTATGTTGCCCAGGTTAGTCTTCAACTCCTGGGCTCAAGGGAACCTCCTACCATGGCTTCCCAAAGTGCTGGGATGACAGGTGCATGCCACTATATTTTCCACCAGTCTAATGGGATATTCTATTGCTCAGCAAGGTCTGAGAACCTAAGTGTGGGGTATACATGCAGGAGCAAAAGAGGATGGGCACCCCAGTAGGGTCCCTTCCGTGTCTCCATTCTATGTCAGCTCTTTGTTTACATCTGCCCCTTGCCCAGCCCCTAGGTCCGGCCAAAAATGTCAGTGGCACCCAAGGGGGATTGTGGCCCAGCTGTTTTCCCACCTGCCACCTGGCTGCTTCCCCTGGGGAGGTGCAGAGAGGGATGGGGGCTGGGAATCATCAGGGAACATGGCTCCCCAGACCTGGGGACTGCACAGTGGGCCCTGCTGCAGCCAGAGACACCGGGGTCCTGGTGGAGCCGTGCCTGCAGGACCTGCCTGGCCAGGCAGAGGCTCCAGCAGCTGAATGTCCAGAAGGAACAGTGTGTGGAGGCGCCTGGACCTCACCTGGGGCAGTGGGCTCTGCCTTGAGCCCACAAGGTGTAGAAGGCAGTGGATGCCTCTCCAATGGACTGCAGGCCAAGAGAGAAAGCTAGGAAGGTGCCAGAAACCCAGAAATCCAACAGGCAGGGCTGTGAGATGAGGCCCACTGTACCCTTCTGAAACCCCACTTTTGAGACTTAGTTTCTCTTCCTGCCAGTCCCAGCACGCAGTGCTGATTAGCCGGTAGCTGCCACCTGCAGCCCTCATGAGAAGTGTCCCCGTGGGTCCCTGCGGTCCCCTGGGTGGCAGGGGCCACATGCTACCTGCCTGCATCTCCCTGCACGGCCTTGAGCAGCCCCTTGCCATTCCAGGACGTAGGGTTTTCCCAGGAGCCCCTGCAGAGGAACCATCTCGGGCAGGAGCAGCAGCGGAAAGAAAAGCAAAAGCCACACAGGTTTCTGCCGCTCTTCCCGTGCTGCTGAGCACAAGCTGTCAGCGCTTGTGGCAGACGCAGAGCCCATGGCTGTGCGTCCCACCTCTAGACGCGGTCAGGGGGCAGCACTGACCCGTCAGTCGTGCAGACCTGAGCAGGCTGTGACCTGTGCTCCTCGCAGCAGCAAAAGAGCAGCCTCCCTGGCTTCCCGCCAGACAGGCAGGGGTCCAGGCCATCCTGCTTCCGCGCACACAGCCGCTCCCCCAGCACTGTGAGGTGGGCAGGTGCTGCTGGGCAAGGACCGGGCCCAGTGGTGGCCACGGGCCAGTCCTCAACCCCTCCTCGTTGCTGTCAGGTTCCGAGGGGGCAGGGGAAGGCACGCATCACAGGGAGTCCCTGCAACACCACTGACCATGGGTGATGCAGGACAGGTGGGTGGGAGACCATTAGGGTTGTGGCAGCACCCCAAGGACACACAGGGGTGGCGTCAAACTCCCACCTGACCCTGGTCAGGGGTGTGTTATCAGAGCTCAGGTGAGGACCCGGAGGGCACCTGCCCCCACTAATGCTGGAAGACTGAGGGCAGTGACTTGCCTGGGGCAGGCCCCAGAAGCAGAGCCCTGAAAGGCCGACCCAGGCACCCCTCCCGTGCTTGTGCCCCCCACAGACACGTGCACACATTCTCTGAGTCAGGGACAGTCCTCTGGGCTCGACAGTGCCAGCAGGCAGAGCAGGAGGCACAGCAGACCCTGAGGCTGGGCCAGGAAGGTAGAGCAGCCAGGCCCGAAGCTGTGGGCCTTTCCAGGAAGCCAGGGCGTGGACACAGAGGCAACCTGGAGGCTGGCCCACATGGGGCTCCTTGGGACCTTAGTCATCCTGAAGGGAAGGGACGCCGTGACTGCCAGCACACTGCAGGGCCTGCTGGGGCTCAGATGCCTGTCAGGGGGCACACGTCCCGGCCTGGCAGCAGTGAGGCTTCCTACAGAAGGGGCCCAGCTAGGTCCACCTAG